CACTTATTACCTTGTAACTAGATAAATGACCAAAGTGCTATTCCATACTAAAATGAAATTTAAATGAGTTTCAAAAGTAGTAACAAAACCTAATGGTTCTAACAGAACAATGTCATTATGACTGTCAGCTAAAATGTTATGTATACTCTGGTTTCTCTTCAGATTGTATAAATCTATCACCTTTTACTAAAATGTTATATTGCCCTTGATCTCAGATTCTCTCTGTAAAACTTTGTAATTTTTATCTGTTAACATTCTGCAGAGATTCAACTTCTCAGGAAACCATGACTGATAAAAGTAAGTTTTTTGGTTATACTATATATTTCAAAGTGCTTGCTATCCAGAAAAGTGTGATAGTTAAACCTACTCTTCCTACCATACTGGTATGACTCATCTCTTGGGTGTTCAACAACTGAGGTTTAGAGACCAAAGCTAAAAAAAGATAACTGGGCTAAGATGACAACATTTTGGCCCTGGCTTACCAATGTCAACAAGGATCCAGGACAGGAGAAGACCCTTTCTACAAGAGTATACAACTCTGGTGAGTCACCCAACCTCCTGAACAGGGAGACTGCTGGACCAGCCCACCTCCCCACCCCCAACCCCCAACCCCAGACAGGAATCAACCAATTTACAGTGTGTTAAAAGGGAAGGTCACAAGAGAGAAAAATGTCAGATATGATTCCATAAAAAGTCACCAGGTCAATCAAGACCATGAGCTCTATCCTGGAAGACAACACTGAGGGACTACATGGAGTGGCTGAAGCTGGAAGTTGGTCACATATGTAGGGGCAAGACAAGAACAGAGTACCTAAAGCAATCAAGCTACTTCAGTCCTGTGAAAACATTTTGCCTGAGACAATTCCAGTTATTAGTCACTAGGCAATGCTGTATTGCATAATACTTTGTCAAATGTTTAAAAAGTGGGGCTGGGGAGATGGCTCAGTAGAATAAGTGCTTCCCTGGCAAGCACTAGGGCCTGAGTTCAATTCCTGGTTCTGAAAAAAAAAAAAAAGAAAAGAAAAAAAAGAAAAGAAAGAAAAAAAGAAAATGCCCCTACAGTGTTTATTCAGTTCCTTTCCTCCCATCAAGACAGGACTTCACTTGACCTCAGCTTTTGTCTCTTATTTTTATTCTCAAGTCCTCTAGCTGTTTTTCCCCTCAAGAATGACAGCTGCAAAGGACCCTGCAACAAAGAAGCTGAAAAGTTCTATATATGCTTCCAAAAGTGACTCCTAAAGAGCCTTAACTGACCCTAATAGTGAAAGGTTAATTTTGATTAACTCAGGTCTTTTAGTTGGTTATAAATATCTAACAAAAAAGTATAAACAAATGATATATAAAAAGTAACACCATAGTAATAAAGGCTAGATATAAAAAAGGAGACTCCAGGGCTAGCAAGATAGCTCAGCAGACTAAGTGCCTGCTTAGGCAAACACAAGGACTCCCTGCCGTACATGTTGTGTTGGCTTGCCCCCATGCCCTGAGCCAGCCACCAAGACCAGGTATGGTGGTACACCTGTACTCCCAGCGCTGGGGAGGCTGAAAACTGGAGGATCACTACAAGTCCGAGCTATAGTGAGACCCTGTACAAAATATGCAATTTTTTTTTTTTTAAAGGGAGACTCCAATCACTACACTGACCCCTGCTGGATTTCAAGCTGCACGTATAGCTGGCCACTATTATAGCTCAAAGAGGCTAAAAGGCTACAATAAAAGCTAAGCAAGTCTTTAAATTCTTTAGCTAAAGTTATCTTTCAAAACCACCAAATTCTCCATCTTCTTACAGCTAAAAGTGGAAGGACTTGTGACAAAAACATCAGAATTACAGATAACTTCCATTAAGTGAGAAGTATAGGAGCCAACTTGACTGCTTTAATGTCTTGAAAAAAGTTTATTCTTGACTAAAGACGGCCAAACTCCAAATGATGATACAGATGGAACCAACAATAAATGTGCCATACTCATTCTACCAACACCCACTAGATCAATCTTTTGAAAGAAGTTCATAACTGGTAAACCTCAATATAACTTCTACTCAAGGTCCCTTCGATTAGCCCTCTGGAAAAAGCCCCTGACTTCAGTCTCCTCTACACTAGCCCTTCTTAGCTCAAAGCAGCTGTATTGAAATCACCTAATCTTTCCTAACTAGTTAAATTAGCTATTCAGAGGGGGTAAATATTATAGCAAACTAAGTCAGACAAATTAATGTATCATTAGAGAGGGACTGGGCTCTTAAAAGATGCCAACACAAAAATAAAATCTGAAAACTGACTCAAGGTACATGTGAAGGCCAGGTCTCAAGGATACAATTGCCAGGCCTGTATCCCCCACTAAGGGATAATCAGTAACTTGAGATTATACTGCAATTAGCACCACCTGATCCAATAAATCTAGACAAGCACCAGTCACTCAGGTTAGTGACCAGAGCACTCTGACCCATCTCTCCCCGTAAACAACTTTGACCTTCCCTTGTACCCTTGCTATGTTACTCATTTCCCTATCTGATCAGTATTAGCTAAGCAGCTCAACTTATAATCCTATAGGTTGATTATAGTTTGATCCACACTGTAACTGTGCTGTATAAATTACCCCTGACAAACGGCCTCAGTGGCCAATCCACTCAACTCTTCTTAGAAATCGAGGAGCTATTCTTACCTCCTATTTCTAAGAAAACTCTCCTAACTTCTTCCTTTGGTTCACACTTTTATTTCTTAATGTTGTGATGCCACAAGCTTGGTACATGACATCTAACATGTCAAGAGTTACATTTCTCCTATATCAAATGTGCCTATCTCTACACCAACACTGTTTTAAATATTTGAGTTTTCTATTTTACAACACAATAAGCATACATACCATGATCACCACCATTCCATCTTATTTTTAGTCTCCAAAAGTGTCCTGATTATTCTAAGTATCAAGAATACTGAGCTCTTTATGGTATACCATACCCATTCTAAGTTGTCAAGAGTATTGAGCTCTCTATGATATGCCATACTCATGGACAGGAAAGCAATAGTTCCATCATTTATTTAGGTCATCTTTAAGTTTTTAAATAAAAGTTTTATACTGTTTTGTACATTATAATTATTCCTAGGAATGTGATAATTTGCCCTGCCTCAATAAATGGTCTTTCCTAATTACGTTTGCTAATTATTTGTTGCTGACGTTTAGACAGAAATTAAAATATAGTCAGAGAAGGACTGGGCTCTTAAGACAGTATGCACAAAAAACATCAAAATTGCAGCTGATTTCTGATTATTTATTTTAAACTATCTTTCTACTTCTTTATTGATACTAACAATTTACCTGTAGACCTATTTTGGCTTTTATGTTCACTATCACAACAAATTTGTGCTTGCTAGGCAGGTGCTTATGCTGGCCCCTACATACTAAGGAATGTAAGTGGTAGCAGTATGTCTGATCTATTCCTGATTAAAATGAAATGGACCTCCCTGTTTACAACTACACATGTTCATTATAAATTTCATTTAATTATAATTTAATTATAATTATTAATTTCAATTAATTATAATTGGTTTCCCCATGGATTTATTAAAACTTATCAAGCATTTTTTCTCTGTATATATTATAAGTACTTTTCTCCTTTACTCTGCTTATGGAATAAACATATTTTCTCCTCTACTCTGCTTATGGAATAAGCACATATAAATTTGCTAATATTTAGCCATCTCTTGCATTCCTGATATAAATCAAACTTAGCTACAATTTTTCTGTTACATATTGTTGAATGATTTTAGCCATTATAGGTCCAAAATTTCCTATCTAAAACCCAAGGCAAAAAAACCTTTACAACTCAAACATTTTTTTACTCACTAGCAGTATGGTGTGACTAAAAACTACAGTGAATGCTGTTGCCAAGTGCCTTCCAACAGAAAAACAAGCAGAAAGTTCAAGACTAAGATTACTCAAAATATACCTGTCTTCACTTGGTTCTGATACACAGCAATCAGCTGCAGTATTTAAAATCCATAAAACTATGGATTTAAATGATGAAAAGTTCAATACATTAAAATAAAAGCCTATTGAATACTATTTTAAAGCTATACAATCCTGAATAAAAGTCTTATGTCAAATATTAACAGAAATTGCTGAAATATCATCATGAAAAAAATCAGTAAAAATGAATGTTATCATATATAACTTTTAACAGAAACCTGCATACTATATTTAGGTTACTAATGCCTAATAGTATCAAATAAATTAAAATCTACTGAAGATGTAAAAAACAAAACCTTGCTATATGGTTAGAATTCTACAATTTAAATTTCAAAAGCTTTTCTGCATGCTTTCAAGCAGCATAAAACTCCTATGACCTGAAGAACTTATTAGTTAAAATTTTATCTATTAATATCCCTGAGTGAAATAGGTATTACCAAATTAATATCCTAGAACTGACAGGTAAGAATGGAAGAGGCAAATAGGACTGCAAATAGGCAAGAAAATAAAAAATCACTTATCTTATTTTCTGTACAAAGTACAAACATATGCACCTAGAATTTTATCAAGTCAAAAGTACCACAAATAAAATACAAAATGCACTAAAATAAAACAAAAATAATCTGTTGCACAAAATATTCAAAAATTTAAAAGGAGATACTGGTATGAATAAAATAATCTTAAATTCCTATTATCTTGAAAAATTCCTTATCAAAGGCAAATACTATTTTTTTCTTTTTAAATATATATTGTACAGGATCTCACTATTAAGCCCAGACATAGTAATCTTCCTATTTTTAGCCTTCCCAGTGCTGAGATTACATGGTTGCAATTACAGGTGCGCACCACCATGCCCGGTCTCAATGACTGGGTCTGTGTGCCCAGGGGTGAGGCCTGTGTGGCATATGGTGCTGGGGACTGAACACCTGTCCCTGCACCTGGCTAAGCAGCTGCTTAGTCAACTGAGCTATCTCACCAGCCCTAAAAGGAAAATACAATCATCTTTAACAATATCACTTACCATCAATTAAACTTACCTTTTTATCTTCTTTTACTTTATGGGTTTTTTTCTTCATCTTCTTATCATCTACTTCCTGGTCAGAAGTGATTGCAGGATTATCAATACCACCTTTCCAAGTTTCAACAGGAGAAAGAAGTGGGTCTTCTTCACTACCACGATGCTTTCCTTTTCTTTTTGTTTTAGAAGTAGTGAAAGCTTCATCATCACTTGCATCTGAGTGAGTTCTTCTATAGTATGACTTGGCTTTACTAAATAAAGTTTTAGATTTATATTTGTATTTTGAAGGCCTCCGTTCCCCATGGCTTTTTGAGGGTCTATCAGAAAATCCATTTTCCTCCTCACCTTGGGTATTATTTACAAATGAGTTTCGAATTTTAATAATTCGATTCTGACTATCATCTGGAACAACATAAATCTCATCAGAATAGCCCTTCTGTTTGAAAATTGTGTCCATGGGTTCCGCATAGTTATCTGAAGAATCCATATCTTCAGGATGTGCCAAAGGTACCCGGGAAGTCTGTTTTCTTGGATTTTTACCAATACCAGCTTCAATTGTTTTTAAAAGGTTTGGATCCAGTTTTTTCACATTTGTCTTAGGAACAACTGGTTTAGGTTTAATAGGTGGAGGCACTTTATGGTTGCGTTCATGATCATGACAGTTTGGGGTGCTATGAACAGGATATTCATTTCCTTCCAAATCTAATCTGTATCTGGAACGGTCACTGGGTGTTGGAAGCAACTGTACATCATCACCAATTGGACTATAAGGAGGTGGAGCTTCTGTATCATCATCTGAATCGGGGTAATTATTATAGGGAAAACAATCTCTAGGAGATGGTAGGAAAACATCTTCGCTGTGATGCGTTGATTCCCTTGTATTATCAGACAGATAGGAATTTTCTATCATATTTTTTTTCTCAAGAACATCACTAAAAAACAGAGTAAAGACTTCAGTTTGCCGATGATACTGAGATAAAGAATACAATGCTGTAAATTTAGCAGTGATCTCAGTTGCAATGTGTTCTCCTTCAGTCATTAACTCCTTGATCGCCTCATTTTCAAAAAAATCTGCTTGGCTGTCAGTAACTGCCACCAGCTGCACAGGAATGGTGTCTTGAACTTCTGATAGAAACGCTCGGAGCATTCCCATTGATGCTTTCCGTTTGGCAGAGTAAACTAAAATATACCCATGAACCAGTTCATCCTTCCTTACTCCAATTGAAGAGTGATATGATAATATTGTGATCTGTATTCGCCTTCTTTTTTCACCAATAATTTTATCAAGCATTAGGGAATTATTCTGTCCAGCTTGGGCAGCACTACAAGAATGAGAATCAAGGAAGGGTGAAAGGATAAGATCCACACTAAATGGATCTCCACACATGGCACACATCACAATTCTTAAGTCTGCTTCCGATACATCCTTATTGGTGGGAACTGGGCTTACAACATCTAAATTATGTTTCACTGATTCCAGTACACCTCTTAGAGCTTGCTTTATTTGGGTTTCATTAAATTTACGAGGATATGTACCAGCAGGTACATCTACAAAAGGACACTGTAACTTGTTTGCCAACTGCTGCCCTTGGTGCCTGAGTATTGGTAGATTCTTACTCACAGAATCTCTCTGGTTAGCCAGAATTAATGTAAATGGAAGATTAGCCATATATTTATCTTTTCTGATCTGAGAAGCTTCAGTTCTTATTTTTCCAATAAATTCCCCAATAAAACTCAATGATTCAATGGAATTGAATACACAGAAGCACCCATGTGGTTTAAAGGCAGCAGTCCATAACTGACTCAAAATGTAAGGCGATTTGGCATCAACAGGCCGAAGGTCAAGTTCATAAATTTTTCCGTCTAAGGCATATTCATCATCAGTAGACTGTGTCCTTATCTCATTTGCTAGTTCTTGGGCAAGGCCATCTTTCCCTAAAATGAAGAGGTTAACTTTATCTATGTTTGCACTATCATGATACAACCGTAAGCGACTGTGATCCAACTGCAAAAGACTACTAGCAAGCAAATGCTCCACTTTAATGTCTGTACAATTTTGGCCACTAAGGCATGTTTCTTTAGTGGGATGATAAACAAATCCTATATGTTTAAGTAGAAGAGATTCCCTATCAGGTGCAAGTTTCTGTAAAGCTTTGTATCTAGGTTCTTCACTTAGAACTGTATGAATCTCACTCATTTTATCTGAACTTGGTGTTGCATTAAGATCTAAATCATAAAAAAGTTCAGAATGCTCAAAAAGCATTTCCTGAAACTCTTCTTTGGCTTTTTCAACTATCTCTCGCTGATGCCTACTATAGACCTCTTTACTATCTCCCTCTGTGATATATTTGAAGGCTTCATCTTCCATAACAAAGCAAATAACTTCCTCCCATGGTTGCCCAGGTGAAATGAACTGGATCTTTTCCAAAGTCTTTTTAAATTTTTCCTTCATTTCTACTCTCCTTTTTTCTGATATTAGATGCTGTACATGGTTCTGATAGACTTTTTCAGCTTCTAAAGTGCTCAGGAGGTCAAATGGGATCCGTCTATCATTAATTTTGTCTATATGGTCAGTTTCATCCCAAGGTGTTTTTTCTAGCACCACAAAACATAACTGGAAGTCTGTTCTCTTCTCCATTAACTTCAAAGCTTCTGACCAATTCAAATGTTCAATCTCTTCAAGATTTGGCAAAAGAGTGTTAAAAGCTCTTGGTAGGGTACTTAAATATTCCTCTCTCCTTTTTCTTATATGTTCCTGTTTAAGTTGTTCTATATGTTTTGAGAATGTATTTCTGGCTTTCCTTGTTCCCTCTAAACTGATGTATTCTTCATAATCAGGATGATTTTTTAATTTATTACTAACAGTTTTCCATGTTGCATGATAATCTCTCACAGTCTGTACAAGTTTTTCAAACTTATCTGTTGCTGTGACAACAAGTTGTCTCTGTGTTTTATAAGCATCCAGATAGGGAATAATTTTAGGCTTGCCACGAGTTTTATCCAGCATTTGTACCAGCGCAGTGAAACATGTCTCAATGTTGACATTAAATCGTGCTGATGTTTCCACTACAAGAAGGTTCTTTTTGTTTGAAGCAAACGCCTGAACTTCTCTAAGATAATGATCCACACATTCATCACATTTAGTTGCTGCTATTATTACAGGTTTTTTTGATTTTGATAGCTGAACAAAAAGGTTATTCACAAATTTAAGTTGATCATCAAATTTCCTATTACATCCCTGACTTACATCAATGCACAATAAAAACCCATCTACATTCAGCTTCCCCTCAGGCATTTGCTTTTGCTCAAAGTCTTGCTCTAAACCTAGCTGATCAGTGCAAATGTACATTAGTTTTTCTGCTGACTGCAACTTAGAGGCAGCTGCACGTTTTATATATGGTTGCAAATTCGTACTCCGATGAGGCAAGAAAGTCTGGTCATCAATGAACTCTGTTTGTTCAATGACATGAATTTTGCATTCTACTCCATCTTCACCATTTTGTGTTATGTCACCCCAGTATAAAAAGTGATCATTGTTTACTACTCGTCCTCCAAAGTCAATGGTGCTAAGCACAGAAGTATGTTCTGGGTAATATTCATCTGCTTTTGAGCGTACAAATCTATTGCACAAACAAGATTTTCCAACTCCACAGTTACCTTTGTCCTTTTCAGTCCCAGAGAGTCCAACTACACTGATAGTATAGGCTGGGGGACGAGGCTCTTTGTTTTTTGCCATCATAACTCTCTTCTCATGTCTCTACATTCATAAAGATAACCATATATATTTCTCATTCTGAAAATAAAATCTTAAAATACAGATCCAAAATTTCAGAATTCTGTTTGGTTCTTTGTATATCCCTCATTTCTGCGCAGACAGATCTTCAAGATCACATGGATCATCTTCCTAGAAAGAGAGGGAAAAAGAAATCTTAATAATGTACATAATGAATTATACTAAAAATATTCCTAACAAAGCACATACAAGTTAATGATCCTAAAGTTACATGTGTTTTACAAAATCACCATAAGAAGTTTGGTTTACCAGAATAAATACAAGATCTCCAAATGTAAGACAAACCTAAATAATTTCATGTCCAAAATAATTAAACACAAAACCTAATGTAGTATGTCACAATTTTAAAATAAACCCTTCTTAACCAAATGTGCATTATTGTCTCTAATTCCTATGAGTATAAGGAAACAACTACTTTCTGTTCTCTCAATATCCTTGCCTTCCCTGCTTAGCAACTCTCTCACAAGTTTTAAGAAATACAAAACTACCTAACATGCTTTCTATTATACATATCTATATATCCCTAAAATTGAATTTTTACAAAGTTAGCAAGATTTTAAAATTTAAAAATGTTTTCAACAGGTTCCAATCTCCTGAAGGATTTATCAAACTTTACATGCCCCAATTAATAGTATTCAAATACTTAAAACAGGAAAATAAAAATAAATGGATAGGGCTAGGGAGATGGCTCAGTAGAATAAGTGCTTCCCTGGCAAGCACAAAGGCCTGAGTTCACTCCGTGGTTCTGCCAAAATAAATAAATAAATAGGTGGAGGAAGAGAAGATTTAATATCAGTAGTGACTGTAATTAAGTAACTAAGTGGTCTCAAACATCTTAAGGTGAAAGGCTGATCTGTCCAGATCAACTGGAAAATATAAAAACGAAAACTTAAAAAAATCCAACTGCTAATTTTTATTTTGCTAGATTCGAAAGACATGAAAGTAATGTTAAATTGTTTCCAAATGTTTTTGATTTCTAGATGTTTTTCACAGAATTACAGTTTAAGAGCCACATTTTGAGTAGCAACAAGATAATTTTGAGATTATACAGTTAAAGCAATCTTTTAGAATTATTTAACATAATGGGAACATTAACTTTCAAGAATTAAATGAAATTTTATTTTAGCTACATATTTACATGTAAAACAATCAGTCTTTTAAAAAAGTTTTAGAGCCAGTGAGATAGCTCAGCAGACTAAGTGGCTGCTTAGGCAAGTGCAGGGACTGGGGTTTGATCATGGTACAGCATGCTGTACCAGCGTCCAGGTGGGATGCGCACTGCGCCACCCACTGAGTCTGGGCATACAGGCGCATGCCTGTACTCCCAGTGCTGGGGAGGCTGAAAACAGGAGTCCAAGCTGTGTAATGAGACACTATACCAAATACATTAAAAAAAAAAAAAATAGTTGGAAAGTCTTCATATCCTTACAAGGTGAAATTAAAAGCAATACAGCACTTCTAGTAACTCAAAATTTCACAAGTTAGAAAAGAAATATCCAGTAAGGTCATGAACATATATACGAATTATCTCTAATCTGGACAAAATAAAAGATTTTAAAGACAACAAATATTATGTAAAGATCAAATTAGGCCTTCTCCTCAAATAGCCCACTGCTCCATGACCTCAATTGCAAGGAAATATCTAATTATAATGTATATACAGTGTGATTAAAAAATATGGTTAATATTTTAAAAAATTGAATGTTACAGCAAAAGACACATTGCCCCTCAAAATACTTTCCCTTGCTTCAAACACTCTTATCCCATCATTTGCACCACTTTGGGAAGCATTTCTGGGAGTCCTCTTTCATATTCTAAGTGTACTGCCATGGGTGCCTTGATGTCCTCAATCAATTAAAAATGTTTACTTTTTATGGTCACTTTGACTTTGGGGAAAAGCTAAAAGTCCTACAATGTCAGATTCCACAAATAAGATGGGTAAGGATACACAATAAGGCTTCTTAGAAGAATACCTTTCCATTGGATAGCAGTCAGCTATAGTATTCACTGCATTAAAAAAAAAAAAAAAAAAAAATATATATATATATATATATATATATATATAGTACAGGGTGTACATGGTCTCACTACACAGATCGGTCTCATAGTGATCCTGTTTTCAAGCACTGGGATTACAGGAACGTGCCACCACACCCAGTCTCAATCACTGTCTCAGAGCCCAGGGGTAGGGCTGGCATGGCATGCTAGGGATCAAACCCCATTCACTGTATTTTTAATCACACATAAGACACTCATAAAACAGGACATCTACAACTGTTTCAGAAAGTGGTAAAAACAACTGAATATGTATATTCTAAGTAAGGATAAGTATTCTGAGGGGAACTAATGGCAAGGTTTTTCACCATAAATTTTTAAAAAATTTAAACATTCACCATATATTTTAATCATCCCTTGGACTTTTTTATATGTTATAGTAACAGTGATAAGAAATCATTCTTCGGCTCTATTCAGTACAGACCCCAGAACCTTGGGTGCACCATGCAGGCCCTCTGAACCCAGGCAAGGTGGCAAATGCCTATAATCCCAGAGCTGGGGAGGCTGAGACAGAAGGATCACTATGAGTCTGAACTGTGTAGCAAAACCCTGTATCAAAAAAATAAATAAATAAATAGAAATAATTCTTGAAATTTAAAATTTTTGACATTTCTGGTAAAAAATTTTTTAAAAATAAAGTTGCAGGTTTATTATCTTATTCTATGTAAGAACTAAATAATGTTTTAAAATGTGAACTGATAGCCAAGGGTTGGGACATATACCAGTAGTCCCAGCACGCTTAGAGGTTGAAGCGGAAGGGTAATTGTGAGCCCAGCTGAAGCAAAAAGAGAACTTAATGAGATACTAGCTCAAAATAGAAAATAACAAATAAGGGGCCTATTAAAAATTAGTTCCATTTACCTTGATTCTTGGAACCATAAGATGCTATTTATGATATATGAAAAATGATGTGATCAAATTTATAGCTTAAATATTTATCTGGCAGCAGTATATATAAGACCAAAAGTAAAAGAACTCAGGTAGTCCATCCAATTCTATTTACCTTTTGTTAATTAAGAACTTTAAAAGCCAATCTAGCAAAACAGTATTTTTATCCAGTATCAAGTTAAATATTCTTTATATAAAATGCATAAAAGAACAACAGAAATTTTTTATTTCCAGATATTTATAGAAACAAAGCACAGGATATTAATAGCATAAAAATCTTATACCAAGTGGTAAACACAGAAATTATTTTATGAACACAGCACAATGATTTCAATTAAGGAAAAAACTGAAAATACAGAATTGTTTTTTAAAACAAAAACTGCAAATGATACTTTAAAATACACATCAAAAGTAATCTAGTAAATAGAAAATTTTCACTTTATTTTTAATTTTTATTTATTTTTTGTATTTTAGGGAAGGGGCTACAGGGTGTTCAGGGTCTCTACTAGATTGGACTCGTAATGATCTGTTTACAGCCTCCCAAGAGCTGGGATTACAGACATGCACCACCACTCCCAGTCTCATGAATTTCCACTTTAAATAACACACTAAATTAAAATAAAACTGAATTCTTCATTAAGCAAACAGTCTGAAAACTAGACATAGTTAAAAGATGTTTAAGATTGTCCCTTTCTTTCCCTGTAAGAGATACAAACTGGTTAAGAGACAAACTGGTTAACAGGAAAATAAGCAATGTAATAAGGATTTGAATATAATACGATACTCACAACTAAAACCTAGCCCTTACCATACCTAACAGTCACACATCTATGAAAATTTCTTATACATGTTTATCCGAACACAATACTTTCACTTGTTTAAGACATATAGCTGGATTACAGCTCAGTGGTAGAGCACTTGCTTGGCACATGCAAAGCCCTGGTGTAGGACACTGACTTTTCCCCTATTGTATAACAACACCCTAAACACTGAGATATACACTCAACAGCTTAAAATAGAAAGGTAAAAACAGAAATGAAGGTAGGTATGGTGGCACATACCTATAATCCCAGCACTCAGGAGGCTGAGACAAGAGGAATTCCGGGCCACTGTGGGAAACATAGCAACTTCAAGGCCAGTCTGAACTACATAGCAAGACCCTATCTCAAAACAAAGGAAAACAACAAAAGTAGAAATGAAAACAAAAATAAAAATGTATTTTAAGGCCTAAGAGTTGCAGAAAGAAAGGGGACTAAAATCAAATGGAAGTATGCTGAAGTAGGAAGCCATCATCCTGTCACTTGTCACTATACACTGGCACACTTTTAATCTAATGGATAAAGCTATTATATTTAGATTAAATTTTAATATTAAAGCTTTAATACATCCTCAACTTGACAGCGACAATCTCTGAATCCTGATTATTAAAGTTCAATTTAAAAAACAAGATAGTTTCCTGCAACTTATGGTTTTCACAATTCACAGTAAACTGCCAGTTAGTCAAGGTGAAGTATAGCCAAGTTCTTACAATTCTGTTAAGCAATCTATCCAGTGGTATTTTGAAATCACAAGGACCTTATGACAAGTCACCATACAGTGATTTTTAAATTATGGTTGAAAAATTCTTTCACCTAGAGGTGGCAAAAAGGTACATTGGACAAATAGTTATTCTTTCTTTTCATCTCTCACCACAGCAGGCTTTTACAAGTTGAACACATTACCTAATTTACAAGTTTAACAGGTCTTTAGCGAATTTACAAGTTTAACACATTCCTGCTGGCTTGCACCAGTAATAGTACATGCATGACCATTCCACCTGTACTGCCACTGGTGTAAGTCATAAACCAATGATGGGATAATCATGTATGTACTGGTAGTTCAAGCTGTCTGGTAACAAGGCATACAAATTGCAGCCTCTTGTCATGAATGTGTTAACTTTGAAACTTCAGCGCAAACAGTTTTTAAATCTGAAAAAGTCTGAGAAATTGTAGATGAGAAAAAAACTGTCACCTTCTATTCAAAAAAATTTGCTATTTATGTGACTATCTTAAGTAATAACATAATAAACCTCAAAGGAAAAAGCTGTAACTCATGAAGTTAGTCCTAACAGATAATAGAATTTATTTCATTTTAGATATGTAGACAATTTATATCAAATGAATTATCCA